CCCAGCCAAAGTTGGCTCTGACAGACAGGGTCGAATATCCGCCTCCTAGATGATGTGAACTACGTCAATGGCAGCGTGAAAGAAACACAAAAAGAAAAATCGTATCAAACTCGTAACGCTGAAGTTATGGATACTTGTATTTTAAGGATTTTGTTTATTTTAAAATGTATCTAATATAAATGATTTGTTTTTGAAGCGCAGAGTGAATCTAATATTCCTATTTTTAGGGGGATATTCTAATTTAATGTTTTGACAAAACTTTCCCCGGGCTACAGTTTTAATGTTACTATTTTTTCCCCCTCATATTTATTATTTCCAGGCAGTAGCATTTTCCCCATTTACCCAGCTTTTGTTTTCGACGAAACCTCAGTTTATATAAAACAGTTGCGATGTCATTTGAGATGCCATTGCGCTCATATTACCTCATGCAGTTGCAAGCGCCGTAAAAACCCCATACTAAAAACTGAGATGGCATTAATATTTATTGGCGAGTGAGTCGCTTGGTGAAGCAAGAATTAGACTGACTGAGCATCTATTCTAGCTTCTACTATAATAATTTTTGCTTCGTAGTTGTTCACGCCCACATCGACAAAATTATAATGATGTGTTTCGACGCCGTGGAACCCCGTGTTCGTCAGTTTTGGGGCATTATGGGTTATTGGTATCATCTTAAAGCTTCTTCTTTGAGAAAAAAAAAATACTCATTTATATTGAATAGAAGTGGAAATATTTGTGATTGAAGGAGGTCAGGGTCGCCTGGTTTCAGAGGTAAAATCTGAGAGAAAATGGCAGCTAGATTTTGAAAAATGCCATGGCCTGAGAGTCCTTGGAAACTGAAATTTTACATTTTGAGTGCCTTTAATTAACATTTTCCCATAACATTCACATGGGAATGTGATTTTGTATGAACGGAAAAAGGTATTGAGCCAAAAAATTAAAAACAATCTATAAAAATGTCCAAATTTTAGGAAAAATGCCTGTTTCTTCGATTTCATTATTTTGACGAGCGCCTAATATCACCATGCTGCAACTCATATAGATGAATTTAGCAGGCAGGCTTCGAGTCTGCTTGTCAGGCCGCACTGTATGTGGTGGACCGAACTAGTCGATGAAAATTTCGCCCCACAAAGGAATCGAACACGGGTCTTTTGTGTGCGACAGCAAGGCATTCTATCGATACATCACAAACGCCGGTTTTTGGTGCAGTGGTTAGATGCCTGGCTTAAATTTTACCGTGGAAGTCAGAAAAATTAGAAGAAAATCCAACATAAATAAATCTTTACCCTGACTTTGAAGGAATTGTAATACAACTAGAACTATGAGTTTTGGAGAATGTGATTTGTATATTTTTGGAACACCTACATGGTGCTCTGGGAAAATCTAATGACCAGTGTGTACTTTAGAGTACTTTTAGTGAGCATATTTTTTTTGGTTTTTTAAAGATAAGGCTATTTTAAATAGAGATAAATTGGAAGCTTTTGATAACAGCCTCAAAATGAAATGTCTTTACGCGCGAGAGTATCATTTGCCAGCGACATATTTTAAAAAAATGAGATGTTAATTAAATGTTTACTCTGTTGAATGTCCTTCAGATGCAGCTGTTAGATAATTAAACATACGAGAAGCACCCTCTGACATTCTCCTGTTTCTAAATCTAAAAACGTTCTCAAAGGACAGTGTGACCGTCGTCTGTGCTGTAACGATTCAGTGGTCGCACGCAGGACCCCAGATTAATTCCTGTGTGACGAGATTTTTTATCGAGTATAT